ATCAAAATTTTAAAAGTAAAGATGATTAATGTAAAAGTGAAATAGTGTATCATGAATGTGCTAGTTTTAGCAATTTCCCTTTTTAAAATGCCTTGCAAAATCTATACTATTAAAAGTGAAGGCATTCTTGAAAAATCGACTGATGGAAGTTGTGTGCACCCTTTATTAATGGTATGTTGGTAATTTATTTTCGGCCTCAAATCTATATATGTATCAATTTGTTACAAATAATATCAAATATTGCATATACTCGAATTATTCTCTCTTTCCAATAATTTCTTAAACCATTAATTATTCTTTATTTTCCCATTAATTATTCTCTCTCTTCCCATTAATTACTCTAACCATATTTCATATTATATTTCATACATTTATTGATTTCCAACATTATATTACACGATTTGGTATATGCATCATATATGGACTTTATAATCACATTTCATACTATATTTCATACATTTATATTGTATTATACACCTTATATTACACGATTTCAATCTATATATTTCCAACATTATATTTTGTTGGTTAAGATTTTTTGGTATATGCATCATACATGAACTTTATAAACCTTCATTTCATTTATATTGTGTTATAGACCTTCATTTCATTTGATATTGTGTTATAGACCTTCATTTCTTCATATATGAAATATGTTTTCATGTTTCACTAAAATTACCCGTATTTATAAACCATACTATAATTCATACAATTATATTGTGTTATAAACCTTATATTACATGATTTCAATCTATATATTTCTAACACTATACTTTTTTGGTTGACATTTTTTGGTATATGCATCATACATGGACTAATAAACCTTCATTTCATTTATATTGTGTTATAAACCTTCATTTCATGATCTATCTTCATATATGAAATATGTTTTCATGTCTCACTAAATTTACATGTATTTATATACCATAGTTAGACGACATACAGTGATATCAACAAAAAAATATATATATCATCACTCTCATGTTGACATTTAATGGACGAGATACGTATATGTATGTGCACCCTTGAAAAATCGACTGATGGAAGTTGTGTGCACCCTTCCTTAATGGCATTTTGGTAATTTATTTTCGTCTTACATTTATATATATATATATATATATTGTTACAAATCATATCACATTAACCAAATACCCGATTTATTCTCTCTTTTCCTATTAATACTCTAACCATATTTCATTTTATGTTTCATACATTTATTTTACCCGGGTTATACCAATATGATTTGTATGATATTATATGATTTGTAACATTTGATATCATATGATTTGTAACATTCGATATAGCAGCCATTGTCCTTTCGGTATATGTGATATGATTTGTATGATATGATATTATTTTATACAGTTTGATATCATATGATTTATAACATTTGGTTACTACACTATAGATTACATAATTCAAATATATATCAAACCCATTTTAATAGTACAGATATGGCCAGAGTAACTAAATATGTGATATGATGAGTTATATCAAATATAAAACATTGTCCTTTTTGGTATATGCATAAATATACTAATATAATTTATATGATATGATATGATTTCTAACATTTGATATCATATGATTTGTGAAAATAATGGTTATTACACTATATATTAGATAATTCAAATATATATCAAACCCATATATGAGTGACATTTAATAACGAGATACGTTTTCGTAAGAAAATATTGCAAATACTAAAATGAATAAATTCTTTCATCTAGAAGTTTATAGATTATGGAAACAGTAAGAATATCGTGGTTAGTTATTTTTGGTGGATTCCATATATTTCTGTAATTGGATTAGTATTAACTGTTACACTTCCTATCTAATTTAAAATATATTCCATAAATATTCCTTATTCTTTGAATGAGATATTTTAAAATATCATAAAAAATATTATTCCCTACATTTCCGTAACCTAAAGGTTATCGTCCCTAGCTATTATAAATATAACTTCTCTTAACCACTATATTCATCATTCATTCAAAAACCTAAATCTTCCCTATGGTGAATAATTTGCAGTTGTCGTTCTTGAGCGATATCAAACTAAGGAAAAATGCATGTCGCATCCAAGTCAAAATCCTTCATACATGGAGACATTTCATGAAAGACATAGGCGAGACCATAGAACTGATCCTTTGTGATGCAAATGTAAGTTTATTGTTTTTTATATATTTATCGATATACATATTCATTTCATTTCGTAAAGGTTTTCACTTTATAATAGTATAGACTAAATTATAAAACTTATTTGTAATCGCAGAGGTAATGATGATTCTCGAGCGTTAACCCTGGATGAATCAAAATCGCAGAGGTAATGATGATTCTCCATCGATCCGTTTTAGGATTATGTTTGTTTAGAAATAATGTTTTAAGTTATGTTTTGACAATCGCATAATGATGATTCTCGAGCGTTAATCCTAGCTGAATCAAAATCGCGTTTTGTTTTCACCCAATAAGTTTCATTTTAAATAATATTTGTTTTTTCTTGATGATTTATTGACTGATTTATTTATATGAAAAATACATAGTGTTGTATAAAACAGATCAATATACTATGATATAATAAACGAAAATCGATTTATACTATATTTGATGCATATTGAAATATAAAATGAGATACTTGGAGTAACAAATGTCATTTGTTACTCCCGAATCTTGCAATATTTAAATTATTCCTTATATACTTGGAGTTATTTTTGACTCTTATAAAAAAAAATATATCATGAATTATTTTTGAGTTACCTTTGACTCTCATAAATTAATTTAATATTTTCTTTTATGGTCAACAAAAAAATTTAAGCCCTTCTTAAGCGCGGGTCAAAATTGAATATTATTTTTATTGTTCAAAAATCGTAGATGTAATTATTTTAACTAACATAAACAAACTATATAAGAAGCGCGGGTCAAAATTGAATATTATTTTTATTGTTCAAAAATAATATATGTAATTATTTTAACTAACATAAATAAACTATATAAGAAGCGCGGGTCAAAATTGAATATTATTTTTACTGTTCAAAAATCATAGATGTAATCATTTTAACTAACATAAATAAACTATATAAGAAGCGCGGGTCAAAATTTAATATTATTTTTATTGTTCAAAAATCATAGATGTAATTATTTTAACTAACATAAATAAACTATATAAGAAGCGCGGGTCAAAATTGAATATTATTTTTATTGTTCAAAAATCATAAATGTAATTATTTTAACTAACATAAATAAACTGTATAATTTGATTAACATATTTATTGGATTTAACTACAAATTTGTAATATAATTTTGGGCATTTTCAATAGTATTGATTTTTCAAATTTACTATAGGCCATGAACCCATCCAAATTTGGTTTCAATCTAATATGTGTTTTAATTCTTCATACTTTCACAACACTTAATTTTCTGATTCTCGATACAATCACAAACTGACTCGGTTATGCAAAACTCAATGAAAAGATCCTACTAAAACATTAAATATACATCAAATTTCACATATAAAACTATCATATAATAAAAATAGAATCATTTGATACATTTTGTTACAACCAAAATAAAACCCGCGCTTCTCAAGCGCGGGTCAAAATCTAGTTTCAAAATTAAAAGAATATTAAGTTATCATTATTTTTTATGCAATTTTAGAAATTATCACATTTATGTATTTTTATATGATTTTAATTTAAATGATATTAAAGATATATATGCTGGATATTTATTCAATAAGATTTCATATTCATATGATTTTATAATCATTTATATCTTGTCAAAAAAAGAAGAAGAAGTTAAACCCTTGATCTGTACTCGAAAGAAACCAATCCTACCCTAAAGATCTGAAAGCCCAAGCCTATATTTAAATATAAATTTTGATTGAAAATTATTTTTTACAGTTATATTAATTCAAACTAAAAATTTAATAAAATATTATGATATAAATTTTAAATTTCGTAATTAAAATAATATAGAGGTGGGTCATAATTTTTTCCAATTCCAAAATCTTAGCATCCCTTAAAAACAAAAGAAAAACAAAATTATAAATACATAAAATATATAATCATATTTAGAACTACAACTTCTATTAAATAAATTTCTTAAATAAAAATAACATATTTTATTACTAATAAATATTAAAACATTTAATATGTTAATATCAAATAATTTAGGAAAATATATGGAATAAAATGTTGTTGCATAACTTTATTTAAAATCAATTTAAATTAATTAATTACAATGGTTGTTGTTTCTTTGTGCTGAAAATAAAAACAAAAACTGAAATATATATTATACATTATATAAAACAATTTTTAAATATAGTATAACCTTATTTAGTTTGGTCAAATATAAAAATTTCGAGAGTTCAATTTAAAAAAAAAATATCATAGAATTAATAATAACGCATAGAAAACTAGTGCAAAGAATTATTTTTTATTATGTTGTTTCATTTACAATAAATTAACAAAATAGGTTAATATATAAATAGTACAATTACATCAAATTGGATAAAATTATAATTTTTAATATAATATTACGTACAAATAAAAAATTATTATCAATCATATATATTATAAAATAACATATTCTACTATATATATAAATTACAAAACATAAAAATATACATGAGATTTTTTTTTAAAACAGCAGTTTATGAGTTTACGATGAACATAAGTTAACTCAAATATCTGTGTCCCCGTTGCGGAGTAAGTTCTGGTTATTTTTTATAATAGATGTTTAGATGCGCCATCCTAAAATAGCATACTCCTTAAAATTACTCCATTTGTTTCAAAAAGATGCACATTCTAGAAAAAATCATATTTAAAAAAGATTTATTTTTTTAGATTATCAATGCATTTTTATCAATTAATAATGGAAAATTGTGAAATTCAAAAACATTAATTGCATTTCTTGAAATATTATTGGGTCAAAAATATGGAAAATATAAAACTACAAAAAATTATGCATTAATAACTAGATTTTAATATTTTTTAATAAGTGTGAAAAGCTTAAAATATGTATTATTTTGAAACAGAGGTAGTAAAAGTTTAGAGCAGAGAGAATATACACTAAGAGTTTATCTACTCTTAACTCGCTGGTGGATCAATACAAACTACCCATTAAATAACTGAATGTCATTGTACTCCCACAATTCAACATTTAAAAATATAAAAGAACTTTGAAAAATTAAAGAGAAAGAGACAGCATACACACATCTTTCTGATTCTATCTATCTACTACTACTACTACTCCCAGTGAAACGGGAAGGTTTGTGGAAGAGCCACAGCCTCATTACCGGACCCATCAGAGACTGCACTCGCATTCTCAAACAATCCGGACCCATAAAATACCGTCTCTTGGGACAAAGAAAGTGGTGCCTGAAGCAAATGAGGGACTGAAGAGGAAGATGATGACAGAAGAGAGAGAGCACAATCAGAGTCATGGATGCAACTCGTCATTCTCTCACACAAGGATGCTGTTCTCGAGCTGTCTTCTTCTTGCAAGAAAGGGAAGTGTTTCCCTCTGCTGTTTGGAGAAGACGAGGTTGGGAAAATAGTGCATGTCTTTGCAGGACAAGAACCAGCATAACTCTGGTTCTGCCCGTAACTTGAACCATTGGCCATGGCTACGCTTACAAGACCGTTTCCCCAGCTCGGACTCCCAACAGATGTAGTTGGAAACACATGTGGAGAGCTAGAAAAATCCAGCAATTTACTACCTGACAACAAACAAGATGGTGCCTTAGGGACTCTTCAGTCTATTGGATCCAGTTTTTTTAAATAAAAAAAAAATAAGAAGAAAACTAAAGGACCTTGGAAGAAAGTTGCAGGACGACCTATATGGTCGGGCTGAGGCTTCCGTCTTCTTCGATTGTGTCCATCAAGACGTTTCCTACAACTTCTCTTTCCTTCATCAAACTCTTCCAAAGCATGAAACCTATATACACATATATATATACACAGATGTTAACATTTTCATTACATGTTCAAATATCCAACATAGGCTACCAGTTTACCTGCTGCATTGTTGACAAAACCTCTGTTTATGGCCACTGATTGTAACCACAGGAGTTTTTGAATGGACATCACATACCTTATGTCTTTTGTGATACTCTCTACAGTTACTAAAATCAGAATCACATCCATCAACCAGACAAATCGGGATCTGGTTGTTGTTCCCTCTTGTCCTCTTGGACGAACCAGAAGAGTTTCTTGAAGCCTCAGAGGCGCTCTCTTTCAACTTACTAAGACTTATCACTTGCTCTGCATTACCAAAAGCAGAGGAGGAGGATGAGGAGTGTCCGATGTTTCTTCCAAGTTTCAGATCAAATGAGAAATCTCCTTTTGGCTGCAATCTTGGTGACCCACCAAACGAGATCGATGCATCGATTGGGGTTAAATCCGGTACAGATTCTTGGTCGAATTCGGAGAAATAACCTGACCTGAGTTTGAAGTTCCAATCCATTTAAAGCTTCTTTTTCTTTCACTCACTATAAGAAGAAATACATAGAAACAACAATCTTAAGATTTATCCTTTTGGTTTTGTTAATCTAAACTATAAGAAGAGATACATAGAAACAACAATCTCAATATTTATCCTTTTAATCTATATTGACAAGTTTTAATAAAGGATACAATAAATTCAACTTTTAAACATGAAACCTATGAAATTTTTAATCTTGATTTTGAAGAAAAAGGAAAAAGAAAAGTTTTTTTTTTAATTAAAAGTCCCAAAATGGGCAAACCTATTGTACTGAAAAAACGAAATGGGAGTGCTGATATATAGAACTAGAACAGATCCCATGAAATGGGAAGAAAGCAAAAGAAAAATAATAGCAAATATATGAACTTGCTGTTTTGAGTTTCACTTCATCATAAAAGCCCTCTTTTTTTATGTCTACTCACTTCCAAGCAAGAATTTAATAGTGCAAGAGCGAGATTTTTTTTTAAAAAAGATGAAACATGTTATTCATTAATTATAAAATAATAAAAAGATTGGTATTTGAGGGTTGAGAAATCTAACCAAATCCATGCACCTACCAGTGAGAAGAACGAAATATACAAAAAATGGACAAGTGAGAAAGAGAGAGAGGATGGGTTTAGCGAGAGAAAGTGGAGACAACGAGAGTGGCTGCTGCTGCTGCAATAATGTAATAAGAGAGTGAAAAGGTGAAGAAAACTATTACTATGTTTAAATATGAAGCTTACTTTAATTGTTTCTTTGCTTTCCTAATATAGGAGTTGTTGATATCCTCTTTAGAGAGAGGAAACGAGTGGAAGAAAGGGACAGCTGTTGTTGTTTGTTCTTTTGCTAACTTATGCATTTTTTTTGCTTTTCTTTATTACTTTGTTTATTTGTCTGCCATCCAACAAGTCTGAAACTCTTCAACGAAATGAAAAGTACACAACATTATTAATCAAATGTTTATATTTATATGGCATATATATTAGACATGTAACATCAGCATTGGATAATTATCTTCCCATAACTTTTTTATCATTTAATAATAATATAATTTACTTAAATAAATAGATCTTAAATAAAAATTTCTTTTACTCACTTAGTAGATGATAAGTGGACAAAGTTTCTTCCTATTATTGTCAGAATACCTTTAGGAACATACGTTCTTCGTCTTTTAACTTCTTCTCATTTTTTTTCATAATTTTCTTAACTTCTTCTGTTGGGGTCAAAATCGGTACAACGGAATAAATAGCCAAATTCCCCGCAAAAAAGAATAGTTTTATGAAACTCAAAGATCGTTTTATAAAACTCGAGAAGCCGTTTTATAAAACTCGAAGACCGTTTTATAAAACTCGAAGATCATTTTATAAAACTCGCGAAGCCGTTTTATAAAACTCGAGAAGCCGTTTTATAAAACTCGAAGATCGTTTTATAAAACTCGAAGATCGTTTTATAAAACTCGAAGATCGTTTTATAAAACACGAGAAGCCGTTTTATAAAACTCGAAGACCGTTTTATAAAACTCGAAGATCGTTTTATAAAACTCGAGAAGCCGTTTTATAAAACTTGAAGATCGTTATATAAAACTCAAGAAGCCGTTTTATAAAACTCGAAGACCGTTTTATAAAACTCGAAGATCGTTTTATAAAAATCGAGAAGCCATTTTATAAAACTCGAGAAGCCATTTTATAAAACTCGAAGATCGTTTTATAAAGCTCGAGAAGCCGTTTTATAAAACTCGAAGACCGTTTTATAAAACTCGAAGATCGTTTTATAAAACTCAAGAAGCCGTTTTATAAAACTCGAAGATCGTTTTATAAAACTCGAAGATCGTTTTATAAAACTCGAGAAGCCGTTTTATAAAACTCGAAGACCGTTTTATAAAACTCGAGAAATCGTTTTACAAAACCGCGAAAAACCGAAACAGCCACGAAGCGCGAACTAGAGGCTCACCAACTAGTTCGCATGCTGGCGAACTAAGCCATGGCTTAGTTCGCCAACAGGCAAACTAGACAGTCCCGGACTAGTTCGCCAGCAGGCGAACTAGACAGTCCCGGACTAGTTCGCCTGCTGGCGAACTAAGCCAGTCCGGCTTAGTTCGCCAGCAGGCGAACTAGGCACTCCACGGCTAGTTCGCCTGCTGGCGAACTAAGCCAGCCCGGCTTAGTTCGCCAGCAGGCGAACTAGGACCTCCTCGGCTAGTTCGCCTGCTGGGAACTAAGCCGGCCCGGCTTAGTTCGCCAGCAGGCGAACTAGAGATCTCCCGGATCTCCCGCGGCCCCGATTCGAACCTTACGTCCTTCGACATGGTCACATTCTGAACCACGGCCAAAATGTCTCTCGTTTCGTCTCGATCCGACTTATCGTTTGAATTCTACGATAAAAACTGTAAAACTCCGTTTTCCCGAAAAGAACTCGAAGAAATCGTATAAAACGGTAACAGTCGAGTAAAACACCGAACATCGCCTAAACTATACGATTTATCTGAGATTTTTCGTTAATATTATAAAAAACGCGTTTTTAATAAAAACGGTCGAGAAAATCGTTGAAAACGGCACCGGATCAGGAAACGGTCTCGTATAAAGTCGTAAAACGGTTTTTATCGTAAAACGGTCCGGAAGGTCCTAAAACACGATAAAAACCCATCTCGCGACATTAATGAAATCAAACCCGAAGATACGATAACGTTTTGACGGTTTACTCGCAGACGGAAGATAAAAGGCAAGTTTGAAGATAAATAGAAGATTTCTGCGGAAGAAAAGGAAGGATCGACAGATATGGAAAGTTCCCGATATATTCGGTTTCGGGCAAAATGGAAGGGTCAGAACCGCCTAAGGGGGAGTATATAAGGAGAAGGCATAGGGCAGAAGCTGGGACACGATTTTCAGAGCTCTCACCACCAAAATTAGCATTTAGGAATATTTCCGTTTTCTGTTAGCGAGCTGCGTCTCAATTAGGGTTTTTCGTTCTTAAGTTTTCAGCTGCTCTTTTTGTACCAGCTCTTACGCAGATTCGAAATAAGAACCTCTTTGCTCTCAATTTCGTTTATTCTTTAAAATTCTAAGTTTATCATTTTCTTAATCTTCGTTGTGCGGTTCTGCAGATAGCCGGTTCCTCTGGAAACTTAGGGTTTTCCCGAAGTTTTGTTTTTTTACGATTTATTGACAGTAGGTGGATTTCGGTTCCCACAGTTTGGCACTAGAGGGAGGGGGGGGGGGTCGGATCTATCTTACACCGAAGCCGCAACATGTCCAACGAAGAAACGATGACTGGTGACAACCAAACACGCAACGAAC